AACTTTAAATATGTATATAATATATACATGAAAATACACAAATAATTGGTAAAACACATATAATTATACCTCATTTCTTTGTATACCTGTCACAGACATTTTTATTTCACAGACTCAGTTTTATGTTTGTAAAATTGAACCAATTTAAATACAGCTTATGCTTATGGTTCTTCAGCCCTTCGACTTAATCTTCTTGAATTAGGGGAAGAAATATTACCTACCAATTAGGTATAGACACAAATACAAAGTTATGTCACTTTGCCAGAACCAGGTCTGTTTTAATCTACTGGTCACATTCATTCATTCAGTATTCCGTTATTGAAAACCTGCAATGTGAGAGACATCGTGCTAGGAGTTTCAGGAGGTCAAAGGTCAAGTGACCGCTTTGTCCCAGTTTGCCTGGGACTTATGTTACTGCTCCCTCCACATGTTTTATAGTCTAACCAGAGGTGTAAAACATGTATATAAAAATGATGTAGACTAGAAATGATGTGTATCTTGAGATGGGTATGGTTAAAATCCACTGAGCATTCAGAAGTTGAAGAGATCACTACTTCAACTTCATGAGGCCAGAGAGGAGAGGACATTTAAACTGGATCAGAAAGTGTCACCAGATTGATTTATGGAGTCTCTGAAGAATACACAACCTGAGGTACAATCTGTAGCAAAGGTAAGAAGATGGGGACCTGTACATAGCAGTTCAGCTTTCCTGGAGCTTAAAAAGAGAAGTGTGCACCCCAGTGACCATTTGGCCCAGGACTGAGGGGTTCTGGGATATGGAATTTTGAGTGGTAAATCCAGAAAAATCCTGGGCAAGCCAGGATGAGTTGCTCATCCTATTGTGCGCTCAAGTATAGTGCTAATAATGGGTTCTCAAGGGGTATTAGTAAGTGAACATATTTAGCTGTCACCTATTTTTAAAAGTCAGTACTTCGATAAAGTTTTATTTTAGTTTATTTATCTAAATCATAATAAAGTGATTTTTCAACCAGAAATAATCACTTGCCTTATTTTTGGCTAGATCCAGTGTTTTAGAAGTCTCTCTCTTCGCTACTTTGAAATTCTGCTCCCCATGTCCTCAGTCATCAGGGTCACGTAAAGGCATATTGATGTAGTTTTAGCTTCCTCTGCAAGAGAGGTAGCTTAGCAAATTAGCTGTTGAATTCAGCCACAGGGTTTGTAATTGGAGAACTGAGTTCAAATCTCCTTACTCAGTTTGACCTTAGGTAAGTCGCTGTCTCTCTGAGCCTCAGATTCTTCATCTTTGTGATTGCATATGAGATATTAAACCTTAGAAAATGTTAGGCGGCTAAGTGTCTACTCAAAAGTGCCCAAGCATTCCCTAAAATGAATGCAGGGTTTTTGTCACCCAAAATGATGCGCATACCTAAAAATACAGTTTAGTAATGCCTTTTTAAAAATGTCATTAAAGGCTCTTTTAATCTGTAGACTTTCTCTCCATCCTATCTCCCCTCCCTCTGCCTCTCCCTCTCAAAAACTGGAATATGTACCCATGTCAAGTTGCTCACACTATGAATTTGGCTGATTGCATCTCCATGGTATAGTTTAATATACTTCTCTATTCTCTGCATTCCCTGTAATTTACTCACATTTGGAAAGGCTCTTTCAAGAGCGGTGTCGTTTTCTTCTATCAGGTTGTGTGTGTGTGTGTGTGTGTGTGTGTGTGTGTGTGTGTGTGATGTTAGCAGCCATTAATTCTCAGTATCTAGTTTAAGGATTTCTGGCATGGGTATGTTCTATCATTCCTTCTTCATTTATTCACTGGAATAATTCTGTAAGAGAAACTCTCATCTACTCTTTAATTACTCAGTGTTACCATCTATATAGGAAAAGCAAGAAAAATGCTAGATTCCTTCCTTACATTTACCTCTGATTTAGCCCTCTTATATGCCCGTCTAGATCCTGAGGAACATGTGTCCAATTTGTATGCCACCACACATTGGGGGAATAAACTAACACAAATTAAAGGCAATAATAAGAAGTATATTTTGAAATACATACGCAACAAATGTTTTTGATGAATTTTTTTGCACAGATACTTGGAAAGGTGATCATCTATTCTCTGCGTATTTTTAAGCTATAACATCCCATATTATTACCACCCAAGAAGATAGTATTTAATCCATTTGTATTTTTATTTTTTTTTTTATTTTTTTTTCAACGTTTATTTATTTTTGGGACAGAGAAAGACAGAGCATGAACGGGGGAGGGGCAGAGAGAGAGGGAGACACAGAATCGGAAACAGGCTCCAGGCTCTGAGCCATCAGCCCAGAGCCCAACGCGGGGCTCGAACTCACGGACCGCGAGATCGTGACCTGGCTGAAGTCGGACGCTTAACCGACTGCGCCACCCAGGCGCCCCTCCATTTGTATTTTTAAAACATTGTCCGGATTAATTCATTTGCCCCTATGTACTTCTGACTTTATATTCTAACACAAAATTTTGCGGTGTAGTCATTGGAAAACCTAAAGCCTCACATGCTAATGAAATTCAGGGAACTTTGGAATTATGAATTCCCTTTTTCTTCAATTCTGTGGAATGATCCCATTAATAGCAGAAGATGGAATCCTTCCAGAGTCTATGGGCCACGGGCAGCGCATGATAAATGATTAAAGAAGCTACCTCTGCTTCCTGAAATAGAAACAATAGAACAGGGGCACCAGTAATGAATAAAGCAAATGGCCAGGAGAAATTGCTGAATGAATAACTTCAATTTGAAATTACTGACTTCACTGGAATGCTCATTCTTTACTTTCTGGTGACTGAGAAAATATTTTTTAGACTTATAATTGTTTCTCTTTTCTTTAGAAGTGAACTACAAAGTATTGTGAGAAGAAAGCTGCAACAAGCAACGGTAGCTTTAATAATTAGGTTTCCTACTTAGCTTTCAAAACCTGTCTCATGAAGAAGTTTTATAAGTAGAAAAAGCAAACACTTTCACTGATGAATAGGTGAACCATCCTTGCCTTACTGCATTCTAATTCCTTTTAAAGCACAGAATTTAAGCATCTGAATATCATTTAACTCTTTCACAGTTGCGCAATACAGAATCCTCCAAAGAAATAGGCAGTGCTCACTTTAAGGATGTGAACTGCAGCAGAAGAACACTTCCTTGGAAGTAGTGATAGAGGCTCAGAGAAAAGTAGCATTTTTTAAAGCATCAAATATATATTTTTTACCGCTGCACCTAAGGAAGATGGCTTCTGCTTGTTGCCCCCCAGTGATGCCCATAACGGTCCTTTGAGATACCTCCTTGAAAATATTCTTTCTGTAACGGGATCAACATAATTAATATCTGCTACAAGTGGTTTCTAATTTTCAGGAAGTCCTGGTGAACTTTGTTCGTATGCAGTGTTCCCAATTATGATACCACTTTCATGTAGGTCTCTCAGCTTGGCTTCCATCCAGGCTGTTAGGTGAAATTAGGCCCAGAAAATCGGATTATTACATCCCAAGGGAAAGGACTGATAAGCAGCAGATGATTGCTCATCTCCTTGCTACTTGCTGGTGTTGAGGTGTTACTAGTTGCAAAGCCAATTTGTTAACAATTAGTACTCATTAGAATCATTTCCTGTTATCGATTCTAAACATTTGACAAAGCGCTTTTAGGAAATTGGACCCCAAAAAGTAGCTACACATAAGTGACGAGCAATTAAAAATCTTCAAGATCCAATGTAATTCCAAACCAGAGTCATCAGTTTCCAAGTAATTATTTTTGCTTTGGAACCCACCTGCTATCCTGTCCAGTTTAAAGATGTGCTGGAACAAGGACATACTTCTTAATTAGCAGAGGTTGTGGGTAAGTCAGAATAGGAACAAAAGGAATTTTCTTTTACTACCCGCTTTAGCTGTTTCTAGTATATCTTTAAGGGACAAAAATTGCCAGCTTGCAATACAATATATGTATTTGTGAGAGTGTGAAATTAAACGCATTACTTCTATTATCTAAACATCCAAGCTTAGTTCTTAAAAGTCTGTGTTCACCTTTGTACATTCTGAACTCTAAATATAGAATCATAAATGGAGTCATTGTGCATTACATTACAATTTAAATATTGCCAGTGTCAGCTTTCTGAAATATTATATATGACTTTAATAAAATTAGCATAAATACCATATGCATTTGAATTTTTTTTCTTAGAAAAGGCATTGTATTCATCTGATTTTTAAATATAGACCCACATGCTTTATAGTGCTACAAATTCATATTCAATAGATATGCCTTTATTACCTAATTAAAATATTTATTATCTGTACAAGTATTATCTCTTAATACTTGCTTAAATTTTCTTTACTTAGACTAAGAAAATATGCCTTATTTCCTCTGTGGTAGGTAATGGTCTTTACACTTTTTTTTTTTTTGGTAGGATCAGAATTAAAACTGAATGTTAGCCCCAATCTTCTGTTCCTTTGCCACATCACTCCCTAAATTTTCCTTTGCTTCTGTGTTTATTTTGTAAATGCAAATAATCGCTCCTCTTCATCCTCCCCTAGACTTACTAAGTGCTGAAAATATTTCTCCTCATTGTTGCAAAACGTAGAGATGTGAACTAAGTGTATTTCTGTTTCTGAATTTCTTATTCCCATATTAAAACCTTACATCAACAGAGAAATTAAGTGTATGTTCTTTTTTGAAATGCCCTATGCTCATCCCTGTATCCTTAATAAACAGAGATGGTATTGACACAAGTGAATTTTGTTTAACCACACTACATTTGCTTCTTAATTAGTGAATATTCATCTGTCATCAGCAGCAGCTATGACACCCCTCCCTGCTAACATGTTCTGTCATAAATAATCAATGAGGCACTATTAATATTCATGAGCTGGAATCTGTGTAGTCATGTGCACTGATGCAGAGACAGGGGGAGTGTTGCCATGAACTGACTGGAAACTCTGTGTGTGTATCCGCGAGTGCAAGATACTTAGGGAAAGCAAAGAGCATGCTGCTGCGCACCACCCTGGCTTGTGCTTCCTGCTAACAGCGGTTTGTCTGTGTTTCTGGGCTGAAGTGACTGATGAAAAACAGTAGTCAAGTCTGGAGGGTGATTCCCTTTCAGTTCACTTGCCTTTCAGTTCTGGGGAAATTAGAAGATTTGCTCTCTGTCTCTGCTTCTTAGAATGGGCTGCAATTTGTGCACTTTTCAGAAAAGAGAGGAACACTACAAACTGCTGTATGAAGTTTCCCAGGTGAGTGCAGGGTCTGAGACCAGCAACTAAACAAGCCAGGCTTTGTGTTTGTCTGAAAGATGGTAAATGAATTGTGGCTAGCTTTATTTTTTCCTTTCAGTAGATTTCAGGATTGAGGGCAGACTTGCTCGTTGGGGGCTTTTTATTTTGGTTTTGGGTAGCAGTTTTCAGCTTCCTTGCCACTCCCCCTTCAGATGACTTCCTGTGGGATTCTTTTTAACATTTTTTTTGTGTGTCTACTGCCAAGATGTCAGTCAAGTAAAAGGAGTAACACTGAGATCCAAGATGTCAGTCAAGTATAAGGAGTAACACTGTAATATTTTGAGACACCTCTTTCATTTTGAAATAGTGTTGACATTTGAAAATCAAATGTATCATTGGTACATTAATATTGGGATTTAATAGGTCTATGGTCTCAGTTATTTTGAATAGACAGGAAAAGTTTCTTGCAAAATCTTGTTAGCCAGGGGAATTATTTGGTAATTAGGAATTTTTGCTTTGGTTTAAGAGGAAGACCTGGTGTTATATGAGGAAAAAAAAAAAATATATATATATATATATACACACACACATATGCATATGCGCGCCTTGGCTTAAAAAAGAGATAAAGAGATTTTCTTATCACCTGTTCTTAGATCCGTTTTGTGTGTTTTTGTATGTTTTGTGCTAGAAATTAATTTCGGGAGCTTATTACAGTATCTGTGGTCTTAGGGAAAGTGTGTAAATTCAATTGTCCTTTAGTGTATATCTGAGGGCTTTTCAGAATAAAAATAAAAACTACATCCCTAGCCTTCATAGTTTTCACAGAATTCCATTAATTCATCATTTTATCTAAACAGGTTTCCCTGGGGTGTCTGCTCAAGTCCAAATTTGTTGTTTGGCAAAATAAAGTTTATTCTTTCCTTCTCCCGGTTTGTCCCAGATGTGACACACCACTACTTTTGTTTTTAGACAGTATTGCTGATGAAAGACAACGTTTGGGATGTTGGTGGTCTGTGGGCACAGCAGTAGCCCAGTGCCCACTGCCTACTCGTTCCCTCAGATTTCCCCCTGACGTGATTCATTTCACAGTGGGCTAATTACAAAGTGGATTTGCTACACATGAAACGGCCTGCTCAGTTGCAATGTTAATGCACATTTTCATGGTAATGTGATCAGAGGCTCATTAGCCAGTTTCCAAAATGATCCTCTGCATTAATTAAATATAAAAATGACTCCTTTATCACCATAGAGAGGAAAAAGAAGATTAACATTGTTAATTACACTAGGGGCAATACCTTTTGCTTAATTTTTTTTTTTTTTTTGCTACAAACTTGCAAGGATGGGCTAAAATAATGTTCATTTCCTAGATAAGCTCTCATCCACTTTGCCTCATGAAAACAGTCTCTAGGTGGAACACTTTCCTTTAGTTTGGTTTGTTGGAGTTTGAGTTCTAGTGTTGATTTTCTTTGGGTGGTGGGAGAGCAGGGGAGTGGATTAATCAATCTATTTTTTTCTCTGAATTACTAAATTGATATAAAAGTATAATATGGAGGAAGTGGTAGGTGTCATCCTCCCTGATTATAGCTAGGTTAAGCTGTTTGCATTCTGCTAAGAAATCAAGCAGGATTGCTGCATCCAGGAAGGGACTACTGTGTTTGTTGAGGAGCAAGAGTCTTTGTTGTGGATTTTTAAAATGCTTGTCTGTGAGTTTTGTCTTTAAGTGCTTCCTCAATCTTGAGAAAAATGGATAAGCCATACTCTTGAATGCCTCCACCTATACTTCTCTATATGTTTATTTTATTTTCTCTACTCCTGAGTTGTAGTACTTACGATCTTTAATAAAGGAGGTGAAAAATGAAGTATTAGCTTCCATTTAACTGGCTTTTATTAGATTAAGTTAAAACCCCAGCTTAAAGGTCTTGCATGCATTTTCCAAGGGGAGCCCTCCTACAGTTTGTCCCCAGCTTTGCGTTCTATTTTATTGAGTTAATGGAATAGATAAGATATCAAAGGAAACCAGTGATAGGCTCATATAATACACTGGAGCCCGTGTGGTGCTGCAAACTAGTTTCTATTTTTATTTGGAGGAGAGGCAGCTCAGAGCACACATCAAAGTGAGCGTGTTCTTAACCAGGTGTTCAGGGGGGCACATAGCTGCCCGCATAAGAGAGGGTACTATTTACAAGAGTGACTTGAGATTGGAAGCCAGAGTATTTCTTACTGGTATATTAAAATGAATGAACTCACACAAACATTAACACCTGATTCTCCAAATCACATGTATTTATAGACTTTGTAATTCTCAGATCACTTACCTTTTTGTTTCTTTTGTTACTATCTCTTAAAAGCTAAGACAAATTAAGGTTACCAGGAGATGTGGAAATTTAAGATTAGTGGTAAATACTACACACATGGCCATGAGCAAAATATTTATGTCTCTGTAATGGAATCGTTATGATATTGGACTTTTCACATTTTCTTTCTGTATTTAGTGATCTGATAATATGGGCCAGTTTTCAGGTGTAGAACTGCAGTAAACAAAAGCAAATGTGCCCACTAAAGAGTCTAGGGAAACAGAATGATGTGCTTAGGTGTGAAATGAGGTCAAGTTTAGATTTTGTTGATATTTTTTGTTCTTATAGAGAAGCTAAGACTTTCAATTGGCAGAAGAGAGGGAGTGTCATTTCAAGAAAATTATTTTCAGCTGGGGCTGGGCCAATCAGGCTCTAGTATGAACACAGATGGGAAGAATCTAGGATTTGGGTAGATCCAGTAATCACACGCAGCAATTTCCATGCATCTTTATACATCTATTAACTTTTATATGTGCCTGGGACATCGTTGTTATCTGCAGTGACTTATTTTTTTTTTCAAAATAGGTTATTTATTAACCTCTTAAGAATTAATAAATGAGTAATTTGAACAGTGCCCTTCTAGGGACATGAACCAAATTGCCTCTTCCATATTAATCTGATCAAATAGCCCTCCTGGACCAAGAGAGCTTCAACAGCTTGTCAGTCATTTCTGAGCTAATGACAGATTTATCTCTGAGTGAGATTGTAGGATAATACCTAAATCTATTGACTTCTTAGTTTGATTTTTCATACATAAATCCAATGTAGCTTTTTGAGTGATTAAATAATAGAAATTATCAATGGGGTGTTAATTGGCATTGAATAACATGTTCAAAATGTGAGCAAATATTTAAAAGCTCATACAGTTAACATGGAACTGTTTATAGGATTTCATTAAGATCTTTTAATGTGATATGCAAGATTCTTCTCTTACTCACTTGCCAAATTAGAGAAAATAAATTGCCTTCAGTCTCCGGAAAACCACAAGTAGATACTGTTGCATGACACAGAGTTGATTTATTCATTTGACTGTTTTGGCGCAGCTCAAAGGTCTCCCCCGCAGCCTGCATCCATGAATTAGCAACATGCGCTGAAACATAAGCTGCATTGAAAGTAACAATATTGACAGCCAGTGATAGTGACCCTTTACTACTAAGTACCGAGCTAAGCACTTTTTTCCTAAGCAGTGTCTTACTTAATCTTCACAAAACCCAATAAGGAGTTTTAGGATTGCTTCTCATAATTTTAAAATATGTTAAAGTGTCCTTTACCCTATATTGAGTTTCTTAAATCTCATTTACTCTCTCTAATTACTGTCCTGTATCCCTCAGAAATGTATTTTGTCACATGTTATGTAAACACAACTCATAATGTCTTCACCTCTTTGTCCAGACTTCATCCCATCCCCACATTCCTTACCACCAGGGAAGGACTCACTGCCATTGCTATCAATAAAACACAAAAACACTGAATTAAAATGGCACTTCTGTTTTCTTCATGCACACAGTGACTCTGTGGTCATTTTACTTCTGCACATTCCCCAGCGTCAATTCAAGCCTTCCCATAATCACGCTTTCTTTTATTAACTCTCTCTAATATTGTGGTAAGAACTTTCCAACTTAGAATTTGTCAGGAATGCTAGTCGACCCTGATGGCTATTACTGGAATATTTCTAGGAAGCACCAATGACTCCCAGTTCCTATAAAATAAGGTAAAACTTCTCTTATTCCAATATATTCAAGGACCTCTCGAGCCCATCCCAGGTTCTTTCCCATCTTTTTCTCCTTCCCATAATTCAATTTATAAACCCTCCAGACCAGTCTTTTTGCTTTTTTCATTAAATCATCTTTCCAGCTCAGATCCTTACAACTTAGTGCTTTCTCTTCAACTTCAATGGAACTCGCCCTATCTCCACTATTTCCTTCCATCACTAGCTGTACAGACCCTGATTCTTTGGCTCAAATATTTTGAGTCAAGAGTTTTTTGCAATTCGTTGTTTTTTTTTTTTTTAATTTTTTTAATGTTTATTTTTTACAGAGAGAGAGACAACATGAGCGGGAAAGGGACAGAGAGAGAGGGAGACACAGAATCTGAAGCAGGCTCCAGGCTCTGAGCTGTCAGCACAGAGCCCGACACAGGGCTCAAACTCACGGACCGTGAGATCATGACCTGGGCCGAAGTTAGACGCTCAACTGACTGAGCTACCCAGGAGCCCTGCAATTCATTGATTTTTTTAAGATGTGTATCCTACCACATTGGAAGTCTTATAACATTTTACTTTTTTAGGGTTCCTTTTTCATGTTCATCCATCTAATATTATAGTCAGTAATTTGTGACTGGATTGTGAGTTCCTTGAAGGCAGCTAAGGTGCTCGTCTGTCCTTTGACCTCCACCTGCCAGCAGATGCTCACTGAGGGCTGCCTCCATATCTTGCATATCCACAGCCTCTTTAGAGTAAACCACCCCACCCATAGCTCCTGGTGAAGGACCACATCACTCTGCTGTCCTCTCTATCCCATGCTTCACAGCTAATTAAACCAGGACCAATCACCTGGTGCGTGAAGTGGAAAGTTCCATGAGGTCGTTTCGGTCTCAAGAATATGTACAAGACAATGTACTGGTCTCAAAAACAAGCATTAGTAATGGGATGAGGATGCAAAGCGT